CGCTGACACTGCCTTCCCAATGCGAAGGGGGATTAGAAAAGGTCGACTTCAAAAATAGCACACCCCTCACTGTCTTACGGACCCGGTGGTATGGGTTTCCTCTACCAGGCGTTAGAACGACCAAACTTCAACACAACATCCCGTAAAAGGCCATGTGTTATAGGCCTCAAGATGTCCATGTTCACAAGAATCTCCCTTTCTTTCAAGAAGAAATACCCTTCCACGATATGGGCACCCGGGAAGTGTCGACCGCTCGCACGCTCCCCGTAGTACACAAGACCCAATGAAACAGAATATATCCTCCCCGACTGTCTTCTCTTTCGCCCTCACCTCCTGTTACTAATATTAAGCCTCTTACACCTTCCCCAACCTCTCATTCTGCGAACGATCGAAGCCTCAATCCTAGTTTCTTAGGACCCTACCATCCACTTCCATGTAGGAGCTGTCAGCGTACGAACTCTATGCCAAATCGGACAGTAAGCATCGCTCGCCAGAATTCTGGAATCTCTAGCCATGAATATATGCAGTGTCTCTGAGACACGTATACAGTATCCGAGTGTGGTTATTAAAATGACCTCATCTAACCATAGTAGTGAATCTTCAAAATTCACTCTACAAGTATCCGGAGACCCAATGGGTAGCTCTCGTGGACCCTCCGGTGTAGGCATAGCATTGAACTGTAGGGCAGAAAGTGCGCTTGTCAACTGGATACCATTAAACAGCTGTCTGTGTGCTGTCCCACTGAATGAATCTGTAAGAACTAGGAAGGATCGTGAGACTAGGCGATGCCTATTCATAATCCGTCTGCGCACCCATCAACTCTAGCTCAGATGATGCGAAGGATGAATCCTATGAAAAGCCATCAACCTTGCTGCAGAAAGCAGAGTTCAGATGTAGTCATAATGGTAGGTGACTTTAATGCCCAAGTAGGGAGGCTGAGCCAATCGGAAAGGCATCTAGGACGTGTTTACAGAATCCCATGCCGGCGAACCGACAACGGTGATCGTGTTGCAATTTTGTTTCGACAATCACTTGTTTCTGGCTACCACTAACTACTTCCATAAGAAGAGGCACTGTTTCGCATGACATCCGCCGACACCAAACGAGTGATGGACACATACAGACCATACTGCCACAAGCCGTCATTGAAGGATTGCCGCTCCTCCTGGAGTACCTGTCTGAACTTCGGTCACGTTGTGTTACCGGCTCATGTGTCTATTTCTTAATCGTCACAGAAAGCATGCGACAGTAAAGCCTGTCCATGGTAGATCAAAGGATGAAGACGCGACGAACGCACTAAGTGAGGAGTCAGCCAAGTATTTAACTGAAGACAGCAATGATCACTCTGATAAAAACCTGAAGGGATCATAAGTCTGTTGTAGAAACAGCAATGAAGACAGTTAGTAACCCACACCCGGAATGATTGAAGTGAGAAGACTGATCCTAGCTGATTCTGATTATAATGAAGAGCAAAAGCAACTCAAACATTAGTTGGTCGAGTATTCGCATCAAGTGCAAGCGGTGGCGAGAAGTCATTAGCGTTGGGTAACACTTGGTTACTATTTAGCCTTATTGTGGATACCAAGAAGGAAATGATGGTTAGCGAAACCATCGACGAAAAGGTTGGGACGCTGATGACCTCCCAGGACAAACGGCTAGAATGTTGGGCGGAACGCCCTGAGGCACATTCCAACCGGCTCCTAGCGACCCATCATCTGACTAAAATTCAGTCCGGACCGGGTGGGACGTTGATGTCGGTCTTTAAATGTTTTCGGAGTTAAGAAGGCTGTGCCATCCAGGAACAACGCAAAGCAATAGGGTTTTGTGGTGACACTCAAAATCTTCAAGGATGGCGCAGATTAAAGTGACGGAGGTACTAGGCACTGGATGGGAATCAGAGGTAGTGACTTCATACTGGCCTATTTCACCGATCATTCTAAAAGAAGGGAGAGGTCTTCTCGTGAACACTAAGGGAAAATCCGTTTGACTGATGTCTTGTCTAAGATCCTATGGGCCATAGTTATATGACGCCCATCTGGAGCTCGAGAAAAACAGGCAAATTTCAAACCTAGACGAGGGTGTGCCGATCCAATTTTCACCCTTCGACAGTTTCTGGAACACAGGTATACTTGCCGCCGGTGGCTAACAATTGCTATATATCTCGGCCTGAAAGCGGTATTTGACTCCGTTGACCGTGAAGTGTTATGGCAGTGTCTGGCTGTAGAGGGAGAGTATCGAGCAAGTATGTAACGCTGATCAAATATTCCCACTTGAACTCACGCAGCCGTGTAAGAGCTTATAGAGAGTTGTCATGGGAATTGACGACAACTAGTAGCGTTTGCCAGGGACGTCCACTGTTCCCGTTCGCACTTAACTTCGTCATAGACGTACCAATGAACATAACCCTGAATAAATCTGACTTCGCAGGGATTGCCTTATCCCCTGGAAGCCATCTGGTTGGCATGTGGTATGCAGACGATATGGTCATGTTAAGTACAGAGGCTGCCAAAATGCAGGGTCTTGAGCAGAAATCTGAATGTTTGGCATGAGTTTCGTACCTGTCAAATGTAGGATGACGCTCCAGGACTAGTTCACAACCACTCCCACTTTAATGACAAACAGTGAAGTGGTGGGGTATATCAACCACATCACTTACTTGGGGAGTTGCAACAGCTCAGACTGGTTGGTTCCTGACGGAACCTCAGCTCGGATACACAAAGGGCCACCTGGTATTTGCCAACTTACATCATCTGTGGTGCCAACTGGTGAGATATCCGACTGCATATCAAAGGACGAGTATACTGCTCCGTCCTGTCTTCTTATACAGCTGACATGGTCGTTAAAAGTCGAAGGCACGAAGCTGTTACTGCGTTCAGGTCACAAATGTCTTCGTAGCATTGCTCACGTGTGGTGGAATCACTATGAACAATGTTGATGTCAGGTGAAGGGTACTAGGCAAGAAAGGCTAGTCGATTGATGAGGCTGTGAACATCAGTCGGCTGATATGTCGTGAACATGGAGTGTGCATGCCCAGCTGCCGCCTACCCCGTCGTGCCATGATAGGGTAAGTTGGAGTAGGTTAGAAGAGGGTTCAGGGTAGCCAGACCGGGATGTGGCACCAATCGATGAAGTCTCTTACTTTTGGTCTGAGTCGTGTAGGGAGATGTAGACTGTCTGATCAGGGTCCCTGAGATGATATGGATCAATGACGGAGGATTTTTGGTGACAGTGCTGAAAATCGGTCACAGAGGCGTAGATGTATTCACTCCTTGACATGCTCTAAAGCTTGAATATTTGCTCTAACCGTTATTTTCGCACTGTTTGTTGTCTTATATAGTTTTGTCTACTTTGATACCACTCTCTTTGTATCCATTTGTTCTTTTTTTGCTATTGTGAAGTTCGGCAGCTCTAGCGGATACAGTTGTGTGCGAGTTCTTATGTTGATTTTATGTGTCACTGGCCGTTGACATTTTCCCGCCACTTTCCCTACCAAGTGTAAATAACTGTATACTGCTTTCTATAGCGAGGAATTTTTGCTCCCCTTTTGCCTTCATTATTTATGACTTTCCACGGTTATTGGACAGATTCTTTTCGAGTTGGTTATTGAGTCACTTCCACTACTCATTGTTTCCGGAGCCTATATAGATATGTGGACCTGCATTCATTAATTCAGGTGCTGAGATCCTATAGCCTATTCTAACAACTTGCTGAGTCAGCTACGATCGTTAACAGTCTTTACAGCAGAATGGAGATGGCATCAAGCTTATTCTGTATAAGTGGTTTTGTTCTGCACTAACAACCGTCTACATAGTTTTTTTTGTTAAAAACAGCCGTAGTATTTTTACAGTCAAGCAGCATTTCCTATAGTCTTGCTGCTGTAGTTTTCGCGCGTACATTCAGGAGCAAATATAGGCTGCAGAAGGAGCGGCCACCTTCCACCAACCTTCTCCTTCGGTAACATAGCAATATGGTCTGTGTACACTGCTGAGTTGAGGTCGACGTATGCCACATCAGACAGTATCTCCCTTGATGCCTTGTGTTTTTGCTGGCCGGAAATAATTGGTTACTTTGTTGTAAGATGCACTGGCTTGTTAAATTCTCCGTCTGAAATGAAATATTAGACAACAGAGGTCGAAGAGTCTTACATATCATGATTATCTAAATAGCCGTTAAATGGTCTCACAAGAATACAGTGACGCTACCAGGCCATCAACTTTATATAGTGCATAGTGGATGGGCGACTTTAAAGGCCACCCTAGCAACGACTGTAATAACTTCTGTACCTTTATGAAAATCTTCCTTTCCAGCCAAAATGAAGAAACCTAATTGTTTATTTCGATTGATGCTAGGGTGGTTTTTAAAGTCGCCCTCATAGACAGTGAATTGATGTTTGAAAGTGGTGCTAACACGTGTGTTTAAGAAAAACGAAAGGTTTGTTCAAACGTAGAAATAGTTCTTAACTGCGATTACATATAATCTTGTACTTAGGAAGTTATACCTTAGATTCCTAAAGTTAATTGGCATAAAAAAAATTATCAGCACTGACGCCTGCAAAACTTCCGAACCACTCCAGTTCATCCAAAAGATAAGCAGTTTTTCTCATCTAGTGGCCAAAGACTACTGTTTAACCTAGATGGAGAAATCAGGGAATCAAATTACCCAACAACTACCTAATGCAGTCATACTTCTGAATTAAGTTTTAGTTATATACCTATAATGCTTTAGTAGTGCTCATGTTTAGTACCTAAGCAGGATTTATCTGAATCGTAGTGTGAACCCAGGAAATTCAACCACGCATAAAGAAGTTGAAATGCAACAATAACTGAATACATAGTTGTGATAAAATGAGTACATATACGCGAGAACACTGAAAAACACAGCAACTCAGGTAAAAATATTACTTGTCTTTGTTTTGAAGATCCAGAAGTAAGATGCTCAAGAAGTAAAAAAGTTAACCGGATCAGTATGTAGCTTGCAGGTAGTCCCGGCTTTGAAGATAGTCAGTCCCCAATGGATGTACCTCTTGTTCTAGATCTCCGGATTGGGGCAGATGCGAATGAATCCTCACTATTCATACACTTAGCATCGTTTATATGAAGATTACTAACAGTACACTCATTTTCTGTCGCACCAACCTTTAAAGATAACTCAGAAAGTGGATCTGTGATTTCTGCATTAACTGAACAACTCCGCAGACTAGGATGCGTAAAAACAAAGGAGGTGAAAAGTGAGTCAAGTTTTTCTTTGGTATACCCAGCTTCAATCAAAGATAGTGGAATATTTTCATGAAACGAATCAATGCTCACTATGGGATCACTGGCTTTCGGTTTTTGTGATTTTTTCGAAATGAAGTTAACAGGTTTTATAGAACTGAAAGCTCCAGACAGGAGATTTATATCAGTGGAAGATGTTGGGATCTCGTTATTTTTTGTTATCCTATGTCGAAGTTCTGAAGTTGAATATGGAGGACGTAAAACACGAGATTCCACCTTACACCAATCAACACATTTCAAGAAACGCAGCTCCTTCACACCTTTTAGATAAGGACGTTGTGTGTGTTGGCGCTGCAAACATGCACTGAAAAATGATTGAAGAGGCTTCGAAAGACGTTTCAATCCACGTATAGAGTATGTCCCCATTCGGGCCCGACGAAATTCTTCAGCAGTATTTTGGGCTTCAGGGCGTATAGGGCCTGTAACCATCTCTGCTGTGAGAACACCCAAACTCCATATGTCTGATCGCATATCAATAACTTCACCTCGAGCAACTTCCGGAGCCATGAACAAAGGTGTTCCAGTAAAGTCATCAAGCGTGGGCCTAGCCGTTTGTGATATGTCATAAGAACGATCCAAATCAGAAACAAAAACATGACCATCTGGATAAAAGAGGATATTCTCAGGCTTTACGTCCAGATGTACAATATTCATCGAATGCAAGTGCTCTAGGCCGCAAATAATTTCCGCAATATAAAATCGTGTATTGGTTTCTGATAGACAGCCTACATGACGCAGTAGATCGTAGAGATCACATCCTGACCCTTTCCGAAGCACAAAAGCAGATACACAATTTTTCCATATACTGTAGCACAACATAGGAAGAAAAGGGCTTTGAAAATCAGCCAAAGCCAGTCGTTCCAAAATCTGTCTTTCTCTTAAAACACATTTAACTGAGGAGTCATTTTCCAAAAAGAAACGTTTTAAGGCGTATTTGGAACCAATATCAGGACCACCTGTCTTTCGAACTTCATAAACAACAGAATAGCATCCACGGCCAATAAATCGTTCAACGGTAAAATCAGAAGGAGAAACTATATATCCCACCATCACTTGGGTTAAAATAGAAACAATGATGTGACATGATAATTCACGCGCCTTTTAGTATGATAGACACGAAATGGTGAACCAATTGGAAAAGTGTCCATATATGTCTATTCTACTTAATTTTTCATTGGCTGATTGTTCTACATATGAAGAGCAGTTTTGTCATTCGCTTTTACGCTTTGTGACTCACGAAACTGATACTTTTTCCTATTGTGCCATTGGCTGACTCAATAAAGGCCATGTTTATTTTACCAAAATAAGATCTAACATTTTCGATGCTTTAAGTTGATTCTGGAGCTATGCCTGTGATAATTTAGACTGTATGAAAAAAGTATAATATTACGTAGAGCTTTCCATTGACTCTTCGGCAACTGTATCAGATAGAGTTTATTTCCATATTAGATTTGTTTATTTGATATAAAGCGCACAGTGATACAGTATTATTATTAGTTCACAACGTTTGTTCAGAATTTTAGCGCACCATAACAAAAGGTTCATGTATGCTGTCTGTTTAACAGAATCCTTCATTCCTCAGTTTTGAAAGTGGATACACTTTTCGGAAAACAAACAAATTGGTAAATCTTAGGTTTTTTGGTTGATACATTGAGTAATAGGACTGAGCATAGTGTACAATAAAACATAGTACATATAGACGTCGGATTTGAGATATCATCCGCATATATGATTGACAGACAGACGAAATTCACACAAAACCATGCACAAAAGATTATCAGTTCAGGTCACCACACTTGACAGCAAATAACGAATGAGCAGAGAAAGTGATATCGAAGTAGACAAAGGCTAGTAAAAACGTTTACGAGTGAATACATGTGGGCTATTATGATTGATTTTCAGTCATGTCGCTGACAGTCTTCCACCAAAGATTCCTAACGTCTCGGGCACTTCAGTCAGATAGTCTACATGACTAACGTGAAAATTCAGAGACTTCACGGACTGGTGCCGTATCTTGGTCTGGGCACCGTGGTACTTCTTCCAACCCCATTCCTACTTTGGTTATCATTTCGGATCGAGTTATGCAGGGATTCGGCATGCATAGCACATGTCTGATTCATCTCAGTTGAGGAAGATGTGCAACCTCGTCAATCGAACCCCTTGTTTGCTTAGTAACAGTCGCCTAACCTAGATATTACTCCTACGGTGATTCCACAAAACACGAGTTATGCTATGAAAACTTGTGTGATCAAAACCCTGTAATCGCTTCACATCTTCTACTTCTAACGGCCATATTTCAGCCGTATAAAAAGACGGGATGGACTGTGACACAGAATACTCGTCCTTTGAGAGATAGCTGAGCACTGCGTCACTTGGCGCCACAGGTTACAGGAAGTTGGCGAATGCCAGATGGGGTCTGTGTAACTGAGCTGAGACTTCATCGACAACAAGCCCATTCGGGCTGACGCAACTCTGCAAGTAAGTGATGTGGTCAACACATTCCACTACTTCATTCCTTATCATTAAACTAGTTGTTGCAGATGCTTCCTGAAACACCATCCTACATTTGACCAGTGCGAAACGCATGCCAAACATACACAAATTTCTGCTTAATGAGTTCAGAAAACTCTGTATCGTATCAGCATCTTCACCCAGGAGGACAATACAACCTGAATACTCCGAGTCAACCAAATGACCTGCAAGGTCAATTCATTTGAAGTCGAAGGTACCTAGTGCTATGTTCATTAATAAATCTATAACGAAGTCAAACAGTAACGATGATAATGAGCATCCACGGCGGGCACCACCGATTGTTGTCAGTTCATATGGAAACTCTTCATCAGCACTGACAAAGCTACTTGAGTCCGAGTAGACAGCTTTTATAAGCATTATATATTTTTTTGGCAAGTTTCGGCCACTGGCCGGAAAGTATACCTATGTTCCAGATTATGTCAGGAGGTGAAAATTAGGTTGACACACCCTCGTCCAGGTCTGAAACCTGCCTGGTTTTCTGGAGTTTTCTGTTATGGAACTCCAATTAGATGTCGGATAACTACTGACCGTAGGATCTTGGACAAATTAATCAGACTGGTTCCCCCATAGTTGTTACGGGAAGACCTCTCCCTCTTACTATAGATTAGAATGATCAAAGAAGTACACCATTGTGACGCACTATCTCTGATTCCCATGCACTACACAGTTCTTCCGTCACTTTAATTAACAGTTTCCTACCTCCATCTTTGAAAGCTTTGATAATCACATTATCCGGTCCCATTGATTTATATCTTTTCAGCCATCTCAACTTCGGGGTCAGTCGGAGCACTGACATCAACGTCCCATTCATGTTCCGGCTAAATTTTGAGCAACCGAAGCGTTTCTGGCGACCAGTTAGAATATGTTTCATAGTGTCTCACCCAACGTTCCAGTCGTCTGTCCTGGGAGGTTATCAGTAACCCATCCCTCTTGTTGGTGATTTCACTGGTCATCGTCTTCTTCTTGCTGGTATCCTTGATAAGCCTAAATAGTTGCTAAATTTTACACAACTCTGATGTCTTCTCTATCTCTCTCGCTTTCGCCACCCATCAGTGCTTTCTATTGACGCGAAGACTCTTGGTCAACTTAAGTTTAAGTTATTTTTGCTCTTCATTATGGTCACAGCCAGCTCGAAATTAGCCTTCATGCATTAGTCCATTTGGATGACGGTGCGAAAATCTAATGACGCTTAAAAACCTTCGGGTGTAGGTTCTTAACTGTTTTTAATGCTGTTTCTAGAGCTGGTTTAATCTCAAGCCAGGTTTCCTCAGGATGAGCATTTCTGCCTTATTCAGAGGAATGCTTAGTCATCTCATAATTGGCGTCTTCATCTTCTAACCAAGTACATACACGTTTCATCGCCTGCTGTTTCCTGCTACCAGTGAGGCACAAATTTTCACTAGCCTGTACTGACGAGTAATTGGACTCCAAAAAGGCACTCCAGAAAAAGCATTAGTCCTCCACCGGTCCTGTCAAACGATAGCTAATGGCCATATTATTTATCTGTTTCCATCGTTGGTTTGATGTTGATGGACGTCATGTGAGATGTTTTTCTTTATACCTGAAGTTAGTGCTGGTCAGCAACAAATTATTGTCAAGAGGAATTCGCAATTAACGAAGTTAAAAAATTATAAAACACATAGTCGCTAATTCAAATACAAATACGAGTAATACTCTAAATAACATGATCGAAAGGTTACTTATTAATGCTGTTGTAGGAATCCATCCTATACGAACTAGAGGGCTAGTATGAAGGAAACTGCGTTCAATCCAAAAAGCTAAAAAATTCTAACACTTGCATTTCATAACAAAGAGAAATATGTTAAACAGGGATGTCAAATATATAGAAGTGCTATGTGTTGGTACTCTATGCTGTTTCCCTTGTCTCCATCATCTACCAACACCAGTAAAGTGCACTTTCTCTTTGGTGAAGTATCTTCTCTTACGCTTTCTTCACTAGGGTTCTGAGGTCTATTCCCCACTCCTTACAGAGAGCCTATTATCATCAATTTAGTCCTTTTTGAGAGGTTTGCACAAGTTTCGTTGCATGAAACTGTTAACTTTTGAATTTCACTCCTTTATTTCATGCTTCTTTCTGTGATGAGAAATTCATTGACGAAATCCCAAAGCTAATTTTATCCCTTTTATTATGTGTTTTAGGTTAGAGGGTTCAATTTCATTGCTTCCGGTTGGATTATCATTCTATTCATTGATTCAGAATTTCCTAGAGGCCCTTCCCATTTCAAATGCCATGATAAAGTGGGAAGTCACAAACCATGTTAGAGCGAGATAGTGTTTTAAACCGTGGTAACCAATATACGTTAAGTGTATTTGCAGGATATTTAGAACTAATGTTATTCAAGTCAGTTAGTCGAATAAAATTTGATCAACTTAGAAGACGAAGTGATTACTGATACTACGCAAAGGTTGTCGATGAACAGGTGATTCTTTGAGGCTTATTATTTTCTAAATCCTTATAATATTGAAACAGTAATTAAAGTGAACTTCAAACTTATCTGAACCGTTTCAACGCATTTTATGACATTCAATATATAAGCTGTGTAGAAATTCGCAGCTTCCATCGACTGTAAAAGAATAAAAATTTACTCTATTAGTTATATAATGTTTTCATTATGATCTGTTTAGCATAAGTTACCTATCAGCGTGGATAGTTACTTGCTGTTTATGTCTTTGAGTAGATCTTATTCTAAAGCGCACTATTAACTTTTATTTAACGGATAGTTTTATAGAGAGATTAATACGGTCACTATAACTTCTTTGTTAAGATTATCACTAATACAAATGCCGCTGGTTAATTTGTAATAATATGAACGATGTATCTGTTCCGTGAAAAAGATATATACATAGGCCACATGGCCCATACGTAGCCCAGATACATACATAGCCCACATATATATACCCCATACTGGCGCCAACACGGAGAATAACTTGATTTACTAGATACCGTGATGACAGATAGGCGAGTAATTAAACTGCAAATAGTTCCATGATGTTACCATAAGGGATATCATTTGCACATGGAGCGCGATTATTCTAGTTGGCATTTTATCCATTTTCTTTCCTTGCACTTAAGATGAATTTCATCACTCAGGGCCTTTCTTCTTTCACATGGAAATGACTTTCGTGCTGGAAGGTTGCTTTCATAAGACGATAATTAGCTTGCTTTAGGCTACACGTGAACTCATATCATTTTAATATGAACATGCCATCATAAGAAATGACATTATAGACGGTTTCAAATGGTTTAGTTTACTCAGCCTAATAACTCAGGAAAAGCAAGTTCAGCGAGATAATGGAAGCTCGTTTATTGATATTTTGAGGATTCTTCTCAACTGCCAACAGCCTAAATCATACCGAAATTTGTACATTTACTCATACTTTTAATTTTCCACCATCTTACTGGATCAACCTTTGTTGACACATGGGCCGCTACGTGGATGCCTCGATATTGTCTCAAGATTGATTAGATCATAATTTCCTTGGTAGTGGAAAACAGT